AGTGACTTGATAAGAGCATGCACAAGAGGCCTCCCAACACAGAGGAAAAGGACAGGCAAAGGTGGTAAGCTGGGAGGCCAGAGTGAAGGCACAACCAAAGACTAAAGAGTTTTGTAGAAGCAACAGGAGCCAGAATAACAATGACAAATGAACAACCTTTTTGATTGTGCTTAAGGTGAAATTTTCTTAGTTGAAGGATTTACTGCATGAAGATCATAAGAAATCACCAAGAAAAGGCAAAATTAATGAGGAGAGAATAGCATTTAAATGTATTCTTTTAAATTTTTTAAGGTCAAAGTTGAAAACAAAATGATGCAAGCATCTAGATCAGAAATAAAGAGGCACTAAAATAGAACCACAATTATTCTGGCCTCAGACTTATTCTTCTCAATGCAAGATTAGATGTTTTGAGAAAAGCATATAGATATTGAGCTCAGGAAAAAACCATATTGGGCAATGTTAGTCAATAGTTGGACATTATGAAAATAGTAAAATAAAAAAAAACATTATCCCATTCGTAGGGGCTATCAAATCCCTACAAAACTCCTGAAAAAACATTTTATAAAAGATATATTGCAATCTACTGAAAGATGAATCAAATCAATATAGATAAGGTGGCAGATGTGTTCAAGCAAATGTAGCAACTTGTCACTTGAAGACATTAAGTGGTGGGTACTTGGATATTCACTGAACAATCTTTCAGGGTTTTTTTATTTCAAATTTTTCGTAATGAAATGTTGGTCAGGAACCAAAAAAACTCAATGGAGGCATCATAAATAAAAAATAATAGCAAGTTGAGTATTTAATTCATTTAAATGTACAGGCAGCCTACAGGAGTGGTTGCACACCAAAATAAATATCTTTATCTGTGTTATTTATAAGATTTTTAAAACTGGCAACAAGCAAAATAAATGGTCGAACAGAAAAAGCAATATAAGTTTTATAATAGCCATTGATAAATTTTTTAATAAATATGATCCATAATTTATAAAGTAAGAAAGCCCCTGGATGATTAGAAAATGAATAAAAATAAACACACCAAAATGTTATTGTACATTATTTCTTTTATTAAGTCTGTGATATCCATTTTTTTTTTGGTGGAACTAGAGTTTGAACTCAGGGCTTCTCACTTACAAAGCAGGCACTCTACCACTTGATCCACACTTCTGATATCCATTTTTTTAATTAGAAAAACACTTATTTTCAGTAAAAATAACCTACCTTATGAATACATATGGAATTTCATAGTTAGTTGAAAGGGAATCAAATTATCTGTAGAGTCCACATCCACAACAGTTTCATATTGACAAGCTGTTTTTCAGGCGCTGTTCATAGCTAATATTGCCAAGAAAGCAAATGAATGAGTGAATAAGTAAATAAATGACCTAATCCCCAGAGATTACAAATTCTCCTTCAGCCTGTGACTGGTCTCATGTGTTTGGGGGTCTCACCAGGTGGACCTATTTTCATGGCACAGCCTCCTGGTGGGGACGGGCTGGTTTCTGTCACCCAGTGGTGTTTCCTTACTTTACAGGTTTGATGCTGAGGCTGTTGCTGCATTTTTTCCATGTCATTCCACTTCCAAAAAGTTTTGCTAATGTAGTTCCTGGTATTTAAAGGAGTCTGACATGAGTGTTATAATCCTGATACTTTCTTCCAAGGCAGAAGATAAGAAGCAGGGAGGTGTGTGTGATGTATTAAAGTGAGAGCCACAGGTCACCATCTCGAAGAAGGGTTCCACCCTGGCCTGTGTGGTATCGGGGATGCATGTGCAAGTTGGCAGTAATCCTGGTACCAGTGTCTCATGGACCTCGGGAATACAGTGAACCACATGTATGTAAGGTCAGGGAGTGCTCTTTTAGTCTCTCTCCTTGTATTAGATATTGCCCACATCAATATATTTTGCCAACAGATAGTACAGTTTGGGCAGAAGTTAAGATACTAGTGTTTCTCTTATCAGTATCTTACCTTCTGCCCGAACTGTACTCTACCAGTTGGAGTGAAGAGAAAAATTGGATAGTATCAAAGGCTTGAGATATTTCCCATAGATTTTGTCCTTTGGTCTTCCCTGACAGAATTTAAAAAAAGAATAGTTATGTATCAGTGTGGTTTGTCCTGTCAGGTATAACATTTCCTGTAGCAAGTGAAGCATAGAAAATGTTTTTGTTTTCTAGATTTCCAAATAGCTAGCAAATTGGAATAAATAAAAACAAAAGAGGGGGGTAAGTTTAGGACTGAAAAACTTTCCACCCTTTCCTTGATTTTTATCTACAGTTAACAAGGTTAGAGCCTTGTTTTAGATTTGAACAGGTTGTTCCTACTTCCCATTGTGTTTTTATGTTGTTGTAGCGCACTCAGTGAATATGCATTGAGAAAATGTTGGTTTTATTTTGGTGGCACTGGGATCAGCCCCATGGAAAAAAACTTTTGGTAAGAACGAAAACTATAGAAGAGATGGTAGATGTCAAAGGAGGGTTGACGTACCCTTAAAAGCCAGGCCAATGCCAGAAACAGAAAGCTGTGAGTATGTGTGAGTGGACAGACCATCCTTCTCTGTTTCTGTATTGTTTTTAAAGTATACCGAATGTTAATGAAGCAGCAGCTAGACAAATGGGAGTTCATTACTAATGAACTCAGAAAAGAATGGGGGAGTGTTGATTTCTCTTCCTTTTTTGTAAGTAGATCATTCAAATTGTCTTTTCCTCTGTAAAGTCAAAATGCTAGTTTCCTTGCCATTTTCCCTCTGCCAGCTTTGTTTAATTCATTATTTTAGTGATTTTTATTGCCATCATAATTATCAACACTTTTCTAGATGCATTTTTTTTTTTTTATAACAGACATCAGGTGAATTGCTGAGGTGCTGAGGCTGGAGTACTTATTTGTTCCTATGAGGTCAGGAAACCTCAGAGCAGTTAGAGTTCTTATCTTCCACCTGTTGGTGGCATCACAGCAGCTATGCTGTCAGTGCTGAAGCATATCCAGGCAACAATGCCTCTTGAAATTATTTAGCAAAGGAAAGGTAATATTATGTATATTATGTGATAGTAAAATCTGATACAGCCCAGTTGATAGATATGTAGATTATGAGCTCATGATTAATACTCTATATGGAACAAGTTAAAAATTACCTTTGGTAATACCATTAATACGTCACAGAAATATGTCCTCTTTCTAAGATGAAATATCAGTTCAGTTGAGAGGAAAATCCAATTGTTAATAATATATGGTACTTGGAAAATATATCTAGAGAAGAGTTGTATGTATACTTGGGGAAGCAGCCTATGAAATAGCAACATCTGTTTTTTGAAAGCAGTGTGTGTGTGTGTGTGTGTGTGTGTGTGTGTGTGTGTGTGTGCATGCTATCTTCACCCATACTGTCTACCTGTATATAAAGTCCATCTGGTTCAAAACTGTTAACCACTGGCACGCTCACAGGTGTGATTTTCCAGACAGATGGGAAGAAGAAATAACTCAGAATTATGATCACACAAACTGCCTTCTAATTTGAGCCTATAAGTCCATTATATGCACTCTTTCTTTATGAATAGTTCCCGACACAGAAGAAATTTTGCTAGGTATTTAGTATCATGGTGAAGCCTGTTGATTCCTCCAATAAATCTATGAGCACTTGCTCGTTGCTCTTCGTGGGATTAAGATCCCCTCCTATTTATGTTCTTATTATTCCTTTTGTGACAACATCCAAAAAGATCAGTATTTACTTCAAACAAGAGACTCAGTTCTCCTAAACTTTGAACTAAAAGGTAAACTTTTAACTAAAAGTTTGAGAGAATTTTCAGTCGCTCACCAAAATATAAATGTCCATACAGCTGTTATCCTGTTCCAGTAATTATAAACATTTATAATTCACCTTAAATAAGTATCTGTTACAATTCACATAAAAGAATATTTTTCTTTTCTGAGCCATGTACTTTAAGGGCAAGGTAGAAAAAAATAAATAAAGGCTATATTGTAGCTAGTGGCTACATTTTGGATCGTTGCAAACACATTATATGAAGAGCCAGATTCTCATAATCGGAAATTCTCATAAGACAGGGAAGTAAATTTCTAAGAATGTGAATAACACTTGGTCATGAAACAAATAGTATATCTGTTAACATTTTTTCATCCCCAAAGTAAAATATTATGTTGTAGAAAACATGCTCCATACAGGTTATTGTCTGCCAACCTGATTGTTAAGCTCCAAACCAATTTGTTCAAGATTAAACCTTTTGATTTTCTTTCTTTTTCTATTTTTCACTGTTGTACATTTTAAATACTACTAATTTTTTTCTTTTCTTTTTGCTTGTTCCACGAAAAATCTTAAATTGATTTAACTTTTTTTTTAGCCAGCATGTGGCCTGTACCGATATGTGGAATATTATAATACATGTTTGATTATGAAAATTATTTTTTCCTTCATTCTCAAGAATTCTCAATCAGAAAGCCTTCCTTCTTTTTATCTCTGAAAGCTATACTGATTCTGGAACCTTCTCCACAAAGATTTGAAAATTTATACTAAATGCAATTGTTCTAAATTCTGACTTTGCACGGTGAGGATGCTTTACTTAGCTGGCTACCTTCCATGACCCAGCTCAGCCCCCTCTGTTTGTGATTGAGATGTCCCCTAAACACTCATCCATTGCCATCTGATTTTGGTCAAACACAAATGGAAATAGCTTGTGGAAGGGGACCACTCACACTTTGAAAGTAGCACCTCAGGGATAGCGTGTGTCCCTTCCATTCAATTCCTTTGCTACACCTGACTGCTGGGAAAGCTGAGGATACAGAATTGTTGCATCTTCTCAAGAAGAAGAGGAGTCAGAGTTGTGGTGAACAGATGGCAGATTCTGCTGCCCCTGAATGCTGGGATTCAGCACAGGACAATGCAAGCTTCGTGATCTGATGATCCTCCATAGAGGGAAGAGAATGAGATGGTAGAGGTTGAGGCCAAGTGCAGGCCTGGAGACACACACATGGCCTGTTTGGTTTTTGTCTTACAGGTCTTACCTGGAACTGATGCTGATGTGGCTGTGGGACCCTCCGTGTCAGCTGAGGGGGCCTTGGTGGAGGAAGCAGAGGCAGAGAAGGCAGCTCTCCCTGTTGGGGAAGGAGGAAAGCTAGAGGAAGCCATAATTGATACTGAAACCACCGAGGTTGTAGACAGTGACAGACCTCAGTCAGCAGAGACAGAAGCAGCAGCAGCACCTCAAGTAAGTGTGGTCATGAGAGAAGCTCTGGGGAGAAGGCCCAGTAGAGTGCTCTGTCTGCTGGTGAAGGGTGATATGATAGCTCTTTACATGTGGAATACGTTTATAGCAGTTTTCTTATTCATATATATATATGAATATATATATCAAATTATATATATATAAATATATATATAATATATATATATATATATATACATATATATATATATGTATATATATATATATGGAGTGAGAAAATACCCACAAAGGCCTTAAGTCAGTGCAGGCATGTGGTGAGAAATTTTATTGCTATTGTCTCTGTTTTGTGTTTATTATTGTTAGAGTGCCCCAGATTCACCACCCGTCTCCTTTCACCAAGAGCCTATGCCTTGCTCCACTCTCAAAAGGGAAGGGGACCAACCCAAACCTATGCACATGAAGTTGGAGCTAGCCTAGCACCTCACTGCTTCAGAGCAGAGCTCAAATGCAACAAATGACATGTGCTGTGACTGAGACAAGAATAGACTGTGCAAAAATGAGACGTTCAACATGGGATACTAAATTGGATTTGCTTTTCAGGATGGTTTTCCTGACCCCTCTTGACACATCCTGTCCTTTTCCCATCCTGACTGTGTGACTGCTCAAGGACCCAGCCATGAACCCCGCTACTCAGTGACAAAAATGAGGCCAGGCCAAGGCTCAAGGCACAGACCTAAAGGCTGAGATTCTGCTGGATTTGGGAAAGTTAGTGGGGTAGAGGAAGTGTGGATGACAGAGGCTAAAGTCGGTTCTGGGAGATGCAGATGTTTTCTTTCTCAGGCCCTGCTGGACACCACTACCTTCTTCCTCCAGGTCATTCCTTCCGTCGTCATTGAGCCTGCCTCCAACCATGAAGAGGAGGGAGATCACGAAATAGGAGAGATTAAGGAGGCCACCAAGGATGTGGATCCTGTAGTTTCCACAGGGGAGACTCAAGAGCTGGCCACGGATCAGAAGCCCCTGGAGGACCTTCACGCTGTGCCTCCTGCACCAGCGGGTGCTGTAGACCAGTTCGCATCTGCAGGGGAGGCCACCCAGGATGTGCCTCCTGGTTTTCTCTACAAGGTCTTTTTTACTATAACCCCATGACCTTTTGTCTTTTCTTCACTTTGAGTCCTGTTTCCTCCAACCTTTGGTTTTTCTGATGTTTTATTTTTGCTTTTTGCAATATATAATCCTTGGCATAAGCCCAAGTATTGAAGGTAGACAATGCTCCCTAATAGATTTATATTAATTTGATTTAATTTCAAAAGTTAGCCACATTCTCTGTGATATTTTTTAAAATGTTAAATCTGTGTATGTTCATGGGGCTGGAGTTGAACAGTCATAGTCATTCTCTCTCTCTCTCTCTCTCTCTCTCTCTCTCTCTTTCTCTCTCTCACTCACACACACACATACATACTTTTATAAAGTAACTCCTCTCTTGCTCCCTCAAATGGTATAATGGATTTATGAATTAATTAATATGGAGAAAAAATATGAACCTGTGGGTTAGGGGGTCGTCTGTGTCCAGCTGTGTTTGTTTTAATTACCACTCAGGAACTCTGAAGCCGTGGGCCGGGCAAGGCTAGAGCTCGAGAGGCCCATCTCGGGCTTCCTCACTATCTGTAGCGTAACCTAACGCACATCACTTAACCCCTCTCTCTGGGCATCAGTTTTCTCATTAGAGAAGTCAATGTTGGGGTAATAGTAATTTCCATATCTAATAGTTTATAATTCTATATGTAAAATACACAAATTAAAAGTAGGTTGTTGCCAGGTGCCTGTGACTCACACCTGTAATCCTAGCTACTCAGAGATCAGGAGGATCACAGTTTGAATCTAGCCCAGGCAAAGAGTTTGTGAGACTCTATCATGAAAAAAAAATCACAAAAATGGGCAGGTGGAGTGGCTCAAGGTGTAGGCCCTGAGTTCAAACCTCAGTGCAGCCAAAAAAAAAAAATGTCAGTTGTTTAATCTCCAGGGGATTGAGGGGGGAGTGACATGAGAGAATGAAGACTGTCTAGGACTGATGTAGTTGCTGTTCAAGGTGGGAGATGGATGTATGGGGCACTCACTGTGTTATTCTTTCTGCTTTTTTCTACAATATAATTCTATAGGAATCTTGTTTTTGGGGGGTGGGGGAAAGTAAAAGCAGATTGAGATGTCATGAAGGGTAGGATATGAAAAGGAACAAGTTTATTTACAAAGAAATTGATCACAGGGTTTAATAGTAATTTCCATATAAGATTCAAGTGGTAGTTTTCCTGATGTTTAATTATTTGACAGAAGCCAGGGTTAGAAGAACTTTTAGGTAGGCATTTTTTTTAGTTCAAGCTAAATGACAAACAATAATAATAAAATATCAATGATGCTAAAAGGCAAGTTTCTATAAAAAACATGGGTAATCAAAATGCAATAAACATAGTACTTTCAGCTATTGAAGAGCACATTGCATTAACAAATATACATCCAAATGGCTTTACGTAAGTTAGTAAGAGCCAAGGGTATTAAGTAAAGAGAGAATAGTATTCCCTTTTTGTCTTGAGAGGCCTTCTTTTTCCTTGGGTTGTTTATTAGCTATTTTCAGTTACTATAATAAAATACCTGAGACTAGATGCTTTATAAAGGAAAGAGGTTTATTTAGCAGACAGTCTTGGAGATTCAAGAGCATGACACAGGCACTGGCTCAGCTCTGGGGAGGACGCTTTAGCTGTATCACATGGCACAAGGTATCATGCATCAGAGAGAGACTGCATGATGAGACAGGAACCCAGAGCTGTGAAGAAGGGCTAGTCATAGTCTTTTATAATAACCCATTCACGGAACCACTCAGGATCCTATAAAAATTACATGAATGCCTTTTGAAGGCAGCACCCCTAATGACCTCCTGGTAGCTTCTACCCCTTAAAGGTTCCCTCACCTCTTACACCACCACACTGGGGAACCAAGCTTCCAACATAGGAACCTTTGGGAGAGAAACCACATCTAAACCATCCATAACAAGCCAAGCCCTGGTGGCTCATGCCTGTAATCCAAGCTACTCAGGAGGATTGTGATTCGAAGCCTACCCAGGCAAATAGTTTACAAGACCTTATCTTGAAAAAACCATCACAAAGAAAAGCTGGTGAAGTGGCTCAAGGTGTAGCCCCTGAGTTCAAGCCTCAGTACCACAAAAAAAAAAAAAATCCACAACAGGATGAAAATACATCTTCATCTTTTTTATCCCCTTTGGAAAGTGCTTCTATGAGTGCCTCCTTATATCTGACTGGGAAACTGATTTTTACATCTTTTTCTTTTCTTTCTAAAATTAAGCAGTTCTTTTAAAACCTTTTGCAGGTGGAAACACTGCATGATTTTGAGGCAGCAAATTCTGATGAACTTAACCTACAAAGGGGTGATGTGGTGCTGGTGGTCCCCTCAGATTCGGAAGCTGACCAGGTAAAAGACAAGACCGGAAGCTATTTCTGCCATGTTCGTTTTTCCTGAGGGTCAGTTGGGCACAGTTCCTTCTGGAAGCATTTCTGTTTTCTGAGATGCTGTGCACCAAGGCTGAGAGGAGCTTAAGGGCTGTGGCCACAGTGCCTCACTCACCTGCTTTTCAGGATACCCCTTGGGAGTGCTGTTGCACTGTGTCCTTTGTATACAACTAGGTGACCTTTTCTCATCTTACAATCACTTCCTAGGGACGTTGTGATTGTAACACCAGTCTTCAGGAAAGGCTGGCACTGTGCATGTCTCCAGGGATAGGGAGGCTGACGGGAAAAGGACATGAGAGAACTTTCTGGGGAGGTGGAAATGCTGTTTATCTCAGTAGCAGTGTGGTCACATGTGTGTATGCATTTGTTAAAAGTCATGGAACTGTACACCTAACGACACTGCATGATACAGTATTTAAATTACACCTCAGTGTAACAGAGATGCCTCGCAGAGTGGTCTGATGTTTTGGTGCTGGGATCTCCCATTTTGTCCCTGTTTGTGATTTGTGAACACTCAAAATGGTAGGCGAAATTTGTGCGAGTCTGTGAACATGTTTTTCTGGAGAAAGAGCTATAATGTCCATGCTATTTTAAAGAGATTTTATTTATGACTCTTTCCTCCTAAAAAGCACCATAGCTTTTAAGCTTAAAACGGACATATCCAACATTTCACTCACCTACGAATATGAATCAGGTGCTGGTACACCTGATTAATTGGAAATTAATTTAGAAATTACTAAAATAGCATATTGTTAAAAGCCCCAAATTTTTTTAAAAATTAAATACACTTCTAAATACATTTGTCAAAGAAATCATAGTGTAAGTTAAACATATTTCATAATGATTATGGATTCTAAGTAGTAAGCCTAAAATACAAAAATTCATGAAGTTAAATAGAAAGTACATAGAAGGAAATAATAAAAATAAATTCACAAAGAAGTGGAATCAAAAACATGCAACAGAGAAAGTTAACAAACCCAAACATTGGTTCTTTGAAAAGAATATTGAAATTCTTATTGCAATCTTTGACTTTAAGAAAAAAGTGAAAAAAAGCACAAATTATTAATATAAAGGCAAAAGCATTGACATTTCTACCTATCTCAAAAACATCAAAATCTTATCATATAAGTTTATATTTTTTGCACTAGCCATAAGATATATTTTTTAAAAATAAGTTAGAGGAAAAAAAGCTAGTCTTTTATACTTACTATCTATTTCCAGTGTTCCTCATTCCTTCCTATAAATGAGTTTTGGTTTGTTCTCATTCCCTTTCTGCTTAAAAATTTTTATTTAGCAATTCCTGTGATGTTGATCTGCTGGTGACAAACCCTCCAAGCTTTTGTTTATGTGAAAATGTCTTCACTCATATTCATTTTTAAAGATTTTTATTTCACTAGGGAAAGAATTCTGAATAGACTTCATTTCCATCTACTCTTCAAGATGTTGTTCCATTGTTTTCTGGTCTCTACTATTTATAATTTGAAGTCAGCTATCATTTGCTTAATTTCTCTATATGTTATATAACTTTCACTGATATAAAGAATTTCTTTGTGTCTATAGTTTTCACCATCGACTGTAATATGCTCATGTTTTGTTTTGTGTAGGGGGAGGGTTTCATACTTGGTTTTCAATGAGCTCCTTAGACTTGTAACTTGACATTTTTTATTACATTTAGAAAACTTTTGCTATTTTTTTCTCTAATTTTTTTCTGCCTCATTTTCTTTCTTTTTTCTCTGTCTCTGTCTCTTTCCATCCCTCCTACTCTTTCCCTCTCTCCATTTCCCATTATGTGTTCAACTTCTTGATACCTAAGATTCTGTTCCTTTTTATCAATATTAATTTCACTGTGGAGTCAGATTGTATAATTTCTGTTAATGTGTGTTCTAGTACCATGACTCTTTCTTCTGCTACTTTAAATTGTTATTAACCTCTCCAGTGACTTTTCCATTTCACATATTATACCTACATAATTGTATAATTTCTTTGTTATTCTTTAATACAGAATATTCTTTGGCTTTAATACAGATTATTCTTTGGCAGTACTAGGGTTTGAATTTAGGGCCTCATGCTTGCAAGGCAGGCTCTCTACCACTTGAGGCACTCCACCAGCCTTGTTTTGTATTGATTGGGTATTATCAAGATAGCATCTCACGAACCATTTGCCCGGGCTAGCCTCCAACCACAGTCCTCCTGATCTCTGCCTCCTGAGTAACTAGGGTTACAGGTGTGAGCCACCAGAGTCCAACTAATACAGTTTCTATTTTGCTAAGTTTTGTTATCTATTCTCTCATTATTACTGTCTTTCAACTTTAATACTTGACCATATTTATTAATAGGTGCTTTAAATTTTTTGCTGATAATTCCAAAGGCTGGAATTTTTCTTGGCGTATTTCTATTGACTGCCTTTTATTTTGGGTCATTTTTTCCTATCTTTTTCCTCATGACTAGTAATATTTTTCTTGATACTAGACATAGTGGGTGGACTCAGTTATTCATATCTGAAGATTGTTTTTTGTGTACTAACAGGCACTTCCATTACTGAAAAATTACCATAAAATTGTAGAAGTTTATTTCACATTTTGTCAAAGTGGGCGCCTTTGGTCTCTACATAAATTCCTATTTCTGAGACATTGCCCCTACCTCTAAAAAATGGGTTTTTGGAGGATTTAAGTAGAAATCCTGCACTGCTTACAGTTCTCCTTTTTTGGTGAGACCCAAACTCTAAATCCTGCCCTCTCCTTTGGCAGTGCCTAAATTTTGAATCAGCTTTTTTAGCCACTCTGCTGTTGTTTTATCTCTAGCTTGTAGGAATACCCCTTATGTTTGTGAGTTTGGAGGTCACGTGATTTCAAGGAAGTTTCTCTTCATAGTTAGGGACTCCTTCCTGTGGTTCCCTCCTTTTTAAGATATTCCCTCACAAATGCACAACTGCTCTGTCACCATAAACGCTGTCCTCTGAGTGCTCTGTGTCACAGGATGTGAGGACAATCCAGGTGAAAAAGCCGTGTTAGCTTGGTCTCACCACTGCGTTTCCCTGCATTCAGGGGTTGGTTAAATATTCTCTGATCTCTTCCTGCTTTTAGTCACTCTTGGTGCCTTCAAATAGTTGTGTGCAGGATTTATATCTGCCTCATAAACCTACAGATTTTGTAGCAAACAGTTGCTTATATGTAGATTCAGATAGGTATACATGTATACATAATTATTACAGTATTTATAAAAATTCTGTGTGGAAGCATTTGTCTAATACAAGATATTCTGCTATTACTGAAACTGGAAATCACTGTCTACCACACATCTTAAGCAGTTTAAATTTAATTTTCCTCCACTAAAGATTTATGTTGGCTAATATCCTTCTCTTTACGATTTAAATTGTATTTCAGAGTCTATGTGTTGAAATACATCTTGATTATGGGTTTATGGAAGTCCTGTTTTTCTCAATTTTAACATGCTTGACTCCTCTTGCCCCATTAGATTTTTCATTCACTATAAATAAAATCAGACATAGATACTTGTTGGGGAGAAATTTTGACCTTTTATATGCATATAGCAGTTAAAAAATACTTAGTTATCAATTTTTCCTTTAAGTGCAGCTTTGTCCTTCACACATATGACATCATAATTTTAAAAGGAGTGCTTTTCCTCATCAGCAAGAATATTATCTGTTATTTTATTAGGTCATTTTTTTCCTTGTTTTTTTTTTCCCTCTATCTCTCTCATCAAAAACTGGCCTCTCTAAGACTTATATTTCTTGTCTATGTGGCAGTATCGATTTATAGTCTCAGATTATATCAAAAGAGAATGTATTCAGACCTTTATTTAATTTTTGAGACCTCATATTATCAGATGTACTTGAGCTGTATTGGGGTTTGACTCAAATTAAACCCCAATACATTGTAAGTGGGATCCTTTTCCTGCACTGGTTAACATTATAAAGATAGTCTTCCCTCTGGCTTCACTTCCTTCAGCTCTGCACTTCCTAGTGTTCCTTCCAACTCAGCTGTTTTCAGCAAGGCTCTGCTTTTCTTCAGAAGGCCGAGGTGAATTATAGCCATAGTTTCTCAGTTTCAAGTATCATCTCCCATTTAGTAGGACCAGCCATGAATGATTGTTTTCTAAGCTTTCTATGGCTAAATATTTTCTTTTTATGATGGCACTCTTATATGACAAACAAATGTTAATTTATAAAGAACATATGACTGTCTCCAACAAGAATGGCACTACATTGGAGTATTTTGTAGCTTATATAAACTTGAAAAATCCGGTATTAATAATAACAATAAGCAGAGTAATACCAGACTGCACATATCTAACTTTTAGGATTTGATGAGCCCTGTGTTAGGGTGATTTATTGGGGTTGCATGATGTGAGCTGTGGACAGAGTCATTTCTTATAAGTAAGACTGTCTGTTGCCTCAGCATTATTTTCTAACCCAAGTTTTACTTCACTCTGACCCATAGGGCAACAGGTCATGGAATTTCTTTTCTCTTCCTTAAGAACTCATATTATAATCCAGTTAACATCAATTAACTATGCTATATACAAAATCAGAATGCTAATATTAATCTTCAATGAAGTATACTTTTATAGTAAAGAAATACTCTCAAATGTTTTATTTCTTAATTTTTTTAACTACCAACAAACTGAGGCCAGACAAAGGAAGACCTGTCAGTAGAGCATGTGTGCAAAAAAATGTAAGAGGGGAAAAACAAAGCAAATCAAAGAAAAACTTCTCGCTTTGTTCCCATGTGGTCAATAGCAGGTCTGTTAGTGCTTTGTCCAAGCTGTGGACACTTGTACTCAAGTCCCCTCCCACCTGTTCTAAAATAGCTTTCTCCAGACCAGTCCTTGATTTCTCTGCACCAAGTATGTGGTATTGAGTGGGCCGCCCTGCAGATGTGATGAAGTTTCGTGTAGTCCGAGATTACCTTATTTCCTTTCCCAGGTGTGAGCACGTGCTCTTTCTCCTGTTCAGGTTTACTGTGTTTAAAACTACACTACTGCAAATGTTTTCAATGGTCTTTTTCAACACACCTCTATAGACATATATATGGACACACAGTCACTCAAGCTAGTTCCCATGACTGCCGGATCTATGTGTATGCAGAAGCTACATATACATAGTTGCTTCCTTTCCTTTCCATTGTAGCTCTTTGCCTCTCAAGTGTCATTGATACATGCATTGCTCTTATTCTGTCTGGCATTACAGTTGCAGTTTTGCTTCTGGGCAAAACCAGCCATCCCATTGCCAAAACAGTCGACAGTATCTGTGTTTGTTGTGTGCAGTTTTCAGGATAAGATGACAGATAGTACTTCCAAGTTGCTGCCCCATTAGAGAGAGCACCTGCCTAATCAAGCAGCTGTCCAGCCACTGTGGCTGGAGGAAGGCTAGGCTGGGACCAGCAGCTATGTGGTCTTCACTTCTGCTTTCATGAGATTGGCCAGAAGATGGGGACATATGAATTTACCCCCAAAAGAACTTATTTTAAAAAAAAAAAAGCTCCTATATATTTCCACTTCTTTATGTTTATGCAATTCATCTTCACAGATCATTCTAAAAGATACTAGGTGATGTATGCTGTATTCACAAATCATCTGTAACGATTATGTTTTCAGTGCTGTGTCATTCCAAATAAACCTTTGGTAATCTCCAACAATTACCCTAATTCCTTTTTATGAGTCTTATTTTTCTGAAATCTTGTTCCAGTGGGACACACTACTTGAGACAATTTGTATTGGAGTTGTTATTTGTGTAGATATACTTTTGTTTCTTCCCTTGGTTGTGCATCATGGCCCTGCCTCACTCCTCCCCCTTCATTCCAGTCATTGCTGGTCACTCAGTGTTCCCTGATAACCAGCAATTACTGTACCACAAATAACAGCTATGGAGGGAGGTTCCTTAAAACCACTGGTTGTAGACTACAGGCTGTGAATCACTGACAATCTTACAACCTCCATAATCAGCAATTTCTTCCCATGCCAGGTTCATTTTTAAGTCACTTTTCTTTCTGGCATGTTTATGTTCATAGGTCCATTAAAATTAGATTTCATGGAATAGAAGAGTCAACTCATTTGTCCATTGTTGCCAGAAGAAAATTCTTCAAACAAAAATGCATTTTGATTTAGACTTTTTGTCTGCATATATGCTTCTATACGGGCTAATTGAGAATGTACATTTTAACTATGGTATATCTTTCTGACTCATGGTTTGAATTCTCTGGAGGATTACTGATTTTGATGTTTTAAGTGTCAATAGGCAAATATCTATTACTAACTCACCATTTTTCTACAGGCTGATTTACAGGAAGGCTGGGTCATAATGAATACTAGTCTAGTGTAAGAAAATAACATGCCACTACCTACTCAGCAGTGGGACTGGTAATTCAGCAAGAGAAATGCAGCAATATGAGATGATAAGTGAAAGTCATCCTGACATTGAGACTACACATGGGATGGTAAAGGCCAAGAATGAAAAATTAGCTCTAACAATGCAATGCACCTAATGTTCTGTAAAGATAATTTTTCATTTAAATATTTAGTCCTGATATTTAAAAATTCCTTTGGAGTTTAAAAAAAATACTAAATAAAAGTAAATTGGATTCCTTGTTTCAGGGATTGCCAAGATCCAAGAATTCCCAATGTACTGAAAATGAATGAGCTGGAAATGAGGGTGGGTGGTAGTGATATTCTCCAGAAATCCCCCCTGCTCGATATGCACTTAATATTCTTTTTCCATTCCAGTAGACTTTCTGAAGGCTATGTAGGTAGTTTCAAGGACTTCTGTGTTTACTAGTGTGGAGCTCTTTCCACTTCTTTTCCTCAGTCTAATTCAGGTTCTCATACCACCAACCCATCATACTCACTTTACTTAGTCATATATTGGTGAATTTGTACCTACATTTTACCCTAAAGACCTGGAGTCAGGAAGCCCTGTCTGAGCATCCTCTCCAAGTTGGAAACTTCCTGTTACAAGCTCAATGGTATACAGATTTCCAAGTAGTAATAAGTCAGATAAAGGAAGCCTGGAGTTCTTATAGGACATATGCCTACCTGGTCCTCCTACCAATACTACCTGTAGTCCCTCTTTTTTTTTTGGCATCACTGATTTGAACTCAGGGCTTCACACTTGCTAGGCAGGTGCTCTTAACCATGTGAACCACTCCACCAGCCCCTGTAGTTCCTCTTAAATCTGTGTGATGTGGATACTGCAAAGCAAAGTCCTCTGGAAATTTGAATTTTTAATGATATCTCAGGGTAGCCAGGGCCCCTGAGACAGAAACTCCATGCACAAGCTCTTTCTAATAAAATTAGGAGGCTTTGAATCAGAAAACCACATCCATCACATCTTGGGCTGTCAGGTACAGGATACAGGGTCAAAATTCTGAGAGTTCTTTGGTGACATAAAGGAGCCTTTAATCAGGCCATTTTAGAAAAATTTCAGCATGTCTCCCTGGCCAATTTAGATGACCCATTAAAGAAAACACCCTTGGGGAACTACAAAATACAGGAGAAACCAACAAGTTTAAAGATGACTGGGGCTCGGTGTTTATTCCATATGATAGCAGGGCTGACACCTTGAAGTCTTAGAAACAGACTGGTCAACAGATTGACTTTCCAGGACTCTACTAGTCTTTTCAAAGGAGCCCAACTAGAAACACTGCCTTTTTTTTTTTTTTTTAAACTTGGGACTGAATGAAAATCCTTTTAAACACTATGTGTCAGACCTTGGCGATTAACAGGCCACGGCATTCCTCGTGTGATGGTGTAGCTACTGTCTTCCCAAGCATGTTACCTCTTCTGAGGACTCAAATAGAATCAAATACTTGGAGGCTATGTGGAGAAGACAATGACAGTACTCAGTTGTCAAATGTAGAAAATTCAGAGCCACATGGTTCTGTTTTGATCCTTGAGGTGGCTCTTCAGCCCATCTCAGACCTGATTTGAGATTAACCTGTCCTGTACCACCAGGCTAAGACCCACCCAGCTTCTCACCTGTAGCATTCTTCAAGGCACATGGCAAGAGATGGGTCAGTTATTCATAACATCAAGCAAACTGTGCTTGAATAAACTAAATGGTCCACCCAAATACTTTGTGACTCATTGGCTATACTTTCCAAAAATTACCTACTGGAAGGCCACACTGACTTTTTCAGCTCTAAAGGTAATTGTGACACAACTCCTAAATCTATGCAAGTTGAAAGAAAGGCCCATGAATACTTTGAAGGTCTTTCTAAAGAAATCTAAACTTTCTCTTAGTTTTCTGAAGTCAAATGAACTCCCAGGGCCCTGTGATCTCCAGGGCCCTCTTAGCTCAGGTCAAACTGAAGTTGTAAGCTAATTTCTCTCTCCCTGCAGCACTGACAAGTGTCTACAGTTAGCTCTAGAGAAACACATCCTACTATGTTCTAAAGCTGTGTAAATCCAGTGCAATGGGGAAGTGCCTTATCCATAAGCAGTTTGCCACATGGATGGTACTCTTACACTCTTCAATAAATATTACTGAACTCTGTCATTATCCTCTGTTTTCCACAAATCTACCTGTAACCACCAAGTGACTTGTGGCATTTGGTAATGCCATCAAATGTCTCCAAACTTCCCTAAGATTCCAGGATAATAATTCTCCTTGTTTTCCTATGCCTCTGACTGTTCCTTCTTCACCTTTGTTTTTCTTTCTTCCTGTAGGTGCTGGGAGTGGGGCATGGGGTGGGTGGTATCAATCTCTATCCTTCAGGTTGTAACCCATTTGTTCAAGGCATGTTCCCTTTGGAAGGTCCAGTGATTGCCTCCAAGTCCACGTTTCTTTGCTCATTAAATGGTTATCAAGCTCTTGCAAAGTGTGAGTTACTGTGCCTTGAGGCCACATTGTATAAGACTTAGACCTTGTGTTCAGGGGCTCCCCATTCTTCAGACTCCTATTCCTGTAGACTTGGGAGCTTTCTCTTGTCTTTCATTTTCCAGATAACAAGCACCTGCTATTATTTCTTCCCTCAAAACATCATGCCACTTTAATTTCTATGAATTGTTCTAGTAATGGTCCTTCCCATAGTGAGTGAAGATGATTTTGGTAATTCTTGCCTTCCTGGTCTGCCTACTTCCTACCTTCCCAGTTTGCCCCACTCCCCAACCTATTTTACATGCCTAACACTAATGCTGGCATGTTACCCTTCCCCTCCTTGTCTCTTTCTCTCATGCACACGTACTAGTGATAAATATCTATTGAATGTGTGTATGTCATGTCAAATACTGGTGCCACTACTTGACCTTCAAAGTCACCACAGGTTCACCAATATTGTCTGTTTAGATCAAGTCAGTATCCTCACTGCCTCATCCTGCTTTCTCTACCACAGCACTATACCTTTGCTTATCTTGCTGCAAGCTCCTTTTTCTGGAATGCCCCTCCCTCTCCTATTTTCCTCCAACTTCTTTCCCTCTAGGCAACAGCTCAAGTTCTACCTCTTAAACAAAGGCCTCTGTACCTGTTCACTCATGCTTTTCCCCACTCAGTCTTCTTTCCTGCATGTAGAGTGGATAGGATATCCTTCAGCCCTTTGTTTCCCTCACAGAGTAATAAATTGTATCAATCTGCAACCAGACTAGGACCTCATATATAAGTGTGTTGAGTGAGCCAAGAGAGACAAATTGATCAGCTAGTCCAGAAACTAACCCCAGGATCAGCATGCAAGGAAAAATTGAATATAAGAAGAAATGTAAAATGAATTTGTTATAATGGAGAGTGAAAAATTTTCTTAAACAAAGTATACAAAGTATAAGACAAAGAATGAGTACAAAATTATGAATTTCTATGTAATGAAAATATATAGGAGATAGGTGACAACCTGTCTACTAACTGTACTTATTATTAATGTAATATAATATAATAAGCTGTCAGACAAGCTTGTTATATTTGTAAGACCCCCAAAATCACAAACGATAAATTTCTAAAATAAATAAGCCATTTATAAAAGCAGAAATTGATTTTAATAATTGCTATTGTACTAATTTATATTTATGATATTTTATTTATATTTATTTACTAACATGTCTGATACTGATAAATTAACATGAATAGTGAATGTAATAGTATTTGCTTCATGTTTGTTATTTTCCAGGCACTCTAAGGGTTTCATATGTTTTAATTCACTTAATCTTCACAAACCTATGAGGAAGTTGCTGCTTATACTTACTCCAGACCAGGAAGTTAAGAGATACTAACAGGAAGGTCATACAGACGCAGTCAATTAATGGCAAGCTATATATAACCCTGGCCAACTGGCTCTGACTTTACCTTTCTGCTTTCAACTTCCTTTTTGCTGTAAGTAAAGGACATGCATAGACAGGACCCTGGAGGGGACACAGGCCAGGAATGAAAAATGACTCTTAGTTCCTAATGATCAGATCAGTGCCTATTAAGCAATGCAATCCTGCTTGATGGCCATCGAGTTGGCAAAAATACAAATTTCAGGTAACACCATAACACAGAGCAGTGGCAGTATTTAGTGAAAATGGTGGTGTGTGTGTGTGTGTGTGTGTGTGTGTGCCCTCTGGCCAGAAATCCTAGAATTACATTCCGGGGTCAGTGCGTATGGTGGTGTAGAGGCTCTGAGGGCTTCATCACAGCATTGCTGGTGGTAGCAAAGTGTCCAACCCTGGGGGATGGAGGAATAGGATGCAAGTGGTTACCAGCCATGGAGAAAGGAGAGCAGGGAGGAGCAGTGAACGAGGAGTATGGACAGCGCCCAGTGGATCGATGAGGATAGTGTGCTATTTACATGGATTAAAAACACACTAATCACAAATATTACATCATTTTCACAGATTCAAAGACTCTAAGGACATACATCAAGTACATTAGATGGAGTACCTACAAGATAATGGGAATGAAGAAGCAAAAATAAGCAAAACTACACAAAATAGCTGGCATGGATTGATGATACTGTTTCATGTGCTCAGAAATATAACAGAAACATATGAGAACCAAGGTTTAAAAAAAAACCCAAACAAACCAGGCTTTAATTTCTGGATAACCCATAAAAACTTTGTGTTTAAGCTTTGAGACTTAATTTTAGACAATCCGTAGCCCATCAATCACAGAGAGTGGTTTCAACTGCTAAATCAAGATCAGGGTAACCCTAAGGGAATTCATTCATTTTCTTCAGTGGTCTGTGGAAAATGCGACACTTTCCTTCTTTAGGGAAAATCTGTGTCCATTGGCTGCCAACCACTATCTAGCTGGCCCTGGCCACTGGCCTCTAGACTCAGAGGGAATTGTCGCACCCTCAAGGCAGTTTCTTCTCCAAGATGACTGAGGCAATCTGGAATAAGGACACTTTTTCATTTAAGAACACTGATTCAGCCAGTGTGGATGGCTTGTGTCTATAATCTCAGCTACTCAGGAGGATCACAGCTCAGAGCAAGCCCAGGCAAATCTTTCATGAGACCTTATCTCAAAAATACCCAACACAACAAAGGGCTGGTAGAGTGGCTCAAGTGGTAGACCACCTGCCTAGCAAGTGTAAATCTCTGGGTTCGTATCCCAGCACAACCAAAAATAAAAAAAAGAATACTAAGTCAGTCTTTGATCCAAGTACTTCTGGATCTGTCATATGAAAATGAGAGGTGCAAGGGTGAGAATATGACTCCAGCCAAGACATTTTTCAAACATAGGCAATTTGCATGTCCTTCAGGAGCAAGGCATATTAAATACATTGCTGATAGTTCTTGTGATTTTAAAGCTAGTGAAACATGAAATACTCAAAGTTATAGATAAATCTGAAGCATGGTGAGGTGTCTGAAGTGATGCAGACAGTTGACAAATTCTGAGTATCCCCAAGAGAACTCTACCTTACGTGCATACTTAAATTTACAAAGGTTCTTCTCTTTTAGTTTCTAGACAGCTGTAGAGCAAGCACCAATAAGAATCAGCACAATTCAGCTTTTTGTATGGATTGTAGCTGTGTCCACATGGGTGTATGTGTGCATGTGTGCTTGTTTTACCTCTGAAAGCCTCAGTCTTCTTCTTAGTAAGATTTTTGAGCATTATCTTCACATTGGCCTGAAACAAGTTTATTGAAGTCACCTACCTTTGTGTAGTAGCCAGGCTGGGTTTCAAACCTATTGGCCATTCAAACACTCAGAAGATCTATGTTTTCTTAAGGAAACAATGCAGAATAGTTTTCCTAGAGAAGTGTCAAGTGGCGAGCAAGCAAGCAACATGCCATTATTGTTGGATCAAAATTAATACACTTCCATTTTTCATCTTACCACACTTCTTTTTTCAATATCTGGAGCATCAGTTCAAGCCAGAATCACAAGTTGTCAGATCTGAAAGAGCCCCAAATGTCACACATACCTTTCACTTTCAGGCTGGGGAAATAAGAGTGTTCAAAGAGGAATCTCCCATCTAAAACTATTGAGCACACTGGGTGTGCAATTGGAACCTGCCTTGTATTTCAGGGCATTTTCCAGTCATCATGCAGTCATTGCTCTTAAATAGATGTCACTTACTGAGGCTTCAACATAGCATGCATGTTATACATGCAGTGGCCAGGAGGGGGTGCTAGAAGTTAGTGTAAATAACTAAATGCTGTCAAAACACTATTTTTTTAAAAGCAGGAAACATGAAGTTGAAAAAGTATAAAAACATCACATTTTGTGGTGAAATGTACACCCCAATGAAGCCAGATATTAATCTCTGAACCATAAACACCCAAGAAATTTATGCAGGGCCCAGGCCTTGGAGACTAAATGGTTTGTTCAAATTCTTTGTGTGCTCTTTGATAGCTAGGTGACTTCATAAGTTATTTAACCTACTTAAGCCTCATTGTCACCTACATCAAATTTTGCTTGCAAAGAAGGAATAACTATATTCAACATTTAACATTCAATAAAGGATATGTTATCATTTCATGGATCAAGAGTTAATCTTTCACAAAAGGTTGTTAACTATTAACTTTAACATGCTAACTTTAACACAAAAGGTTGTAAACTATTAACTTTAACTCTACCACTTTTTGAGGCCACCATGATTGCTGAATTACTACTATTCCAGAATATCTGAGAGTTATTTTTGAGTTTCTGAAAAAATTTTTATCCTTCATATTTTCTAGTTTAAGAAAGAAATTCTTCCCAAAAGACCAAAAATCATATGTTCTCCCTCACATGTAAACATTAGATCAAGGACAAATACAACAAGGGGATTGGACTTTGATCACATGATAAAGTGAGAGCACACAAGGGAGGTATGAGGATAGGTAAGACACCTAAAAAACTAGATAGCATTTGTTGCCCTCAACGCAGAGAAACTAAAGCAGATACTTTAAAGCAACTGAGGCCAATAGGAGAAGGGAACCAGGAACTAGAGAAAAGGTTAGTTCAAGAAGAATTAACTTAGAAGAATTAACACACATGCACAGGAAATCAATGTGAGTCAACTCCCTGTATAGCTATCCTTATATCAACTAGCAAAAACTCTTGGTCCTTCCTATTATTGCTTATACTCTCTCTACAACAAAATTAGAGATAAGGGCAAAATAGTTTCTGCCGGGTAGCGAGGGGGTAGAGGGAGAGAAGGAGGAGGAAAAATAAATAAATAAAAGAATTAATTGTGAACTAAGAAAAAAAGAAGGAAATTCTTTATATATTGCATTCTTTATATATTAAATGGACAGTCATTTGGGTTTTGGAACTCATTAGACTTGAGCTTAAGTCTAGGCATGATTACCTACTTCTTAAGTGAACTTAGTGCAGATAAATTTTTTTAAGATTTCAGTTCTCTAAAGCAGATACCTTAAAGCAACTGAGGCCAATAGGAAAAGGGGAACAGGTACTAGAGAAAAGGTTAGATCAAAAAGAATTAACCTAGAAGGTAACACCCACACACAGGAAATCAATGTGAGTCAATGCCCTGTATAGCTATCCTTATCTCAACCAGCAAAAACCCTTGTTCCTTCCTATTATTGCTTATACTCTCTCTACAACAAAATTAGAAATAAGGGCAAAATAGTTTCTGCTGGGTATTGAGCGGGGGGAGAGGGAGGGGGCGGAGTGGGTGGTAAGGGAGGGGGTGGGGGCAGGGGGGAGAAATGACTCAAGCCTTGTATGCACATATGAATAAAAAAAAAAGATTTCAGCTCTCTTGTCTGTCAAATGTGTTTGATTATATCTCCTTATAAGAATTAAAATGTTATAAGAATTAATTTTACTAAAGACTAACAGTTATCATAGAAACCAATAAGTTAGCAGAATTCCTAGCACTTCCTGGATGGTGTATCCAAGGTAAGGGTTTATTGTTCCTGTTTATAGTGACTTTTCAAAGGATACACAACCTACAGGTGGTGGCATTTGGACTTGAGCTGTCATTCTTTCTTTCCCAAAGCAATACATTCTCATAGAATTATGAGTTCTCCTGTCAAACTTTTCCAAAAGTCTCTTTTTTGACAGATCCATCCTGAGAAATATCCTCAGGTCACTGTTTATGGGACTACACAAGACCTAACAATACACAGGGAAAAGAAATGTGCAGCCTGGAAGACCATGAGGCATGGACAGAGGTTGATCAGAACTGGTAGCTTCCTGATATCCTCATGAATCTGGAGGCCCCAGAAACTGGGAAAAGTGGGCAGGATGTGAAGTTTTGGCTGAGATTCCTGGGACACACTCAACTTCCTGGATATGATGCCTTACACAGCCCATCCACACATGGAGGGGCGTGGAGGGGAGATGCCACTGCTTTCTGGGAACTTGTGCACATTGTGTGCTGCATAGGTACAAGGACATGACCTGAATCCTCTTTCTCTACTTCTTCTGGCTCCCCATCAACTTCTGGTTTAGTTCACTAGCATCAGTATGGTTTTCATGAGTCACTGGTTCCCATCCACGTTCCAGCCCAGGCTGACAGTAGGGAAAGTCTGTTTTTGACAGTTTCTTTTTATGTTCTGTAGAAAAAACACACATTACATGATTTAGCTATACCGAGCCCCTGTAATTTCCCAAAAGATATGCATGATAATTTTCTCATGGACTTATATTAAGTGCTGACAATGTTCCAGGTCTTGTGTTGAGTGCTCTAGTTAGAGAGATGTGTGCCTCTTGGGAGCTTGCTATAAACAATGGTGACCTACCTAACTGGGGTCACAGCCTGATAGAAAGGAACTGATACCCACTTAGAGGTCCTGAAACCATAGGGAACTTGTTAGAAAAATTCCTGTGAATAGACTAGTTTTGTATCATTGCCAGGTAACATCTTACAGCAGTCTAAAACAGAAATATAAAGAATAATCTACAAGATATAAACTTCTCTCTAAGGCAGTGTCACATTTTTTAAAATAATTCCATCACCATAGTAATTCAGATCTCTTGATATGAGACAAGTATAATTATCAGGAGAAGCAGGTGAAGTAAATTTAATTTGATGACTTTGGATCCACTGTCCCATCAGAGTGAGCTGGCCAGACTCACTTCACAACTTCAGAGGAGAAAGAGAAACAGAGATGAGATGAGGTTAGCATGAGCAGGGAGATGGAGTAATTCAGGGACACTGAAGCAACAGAAACTTGTAGTAGATAGGGAGAGGGGAAGAGAGGACTAACAGAAAAATAGGGAAAAGCTAAGACCATGGCATATATGCATAAAGTGAATTAGTGAAAGTTGGAAATATTCATAGAAAGATGTATTTATCTATCCTGAGAGGGAGAAAGAAAAATAGATAAGTAAAAAGACAGACAGGGAGTGCCAGAACAAAGGGAGAAAGAGG